TAGGCATTGAGTAGCCACTGCAAGCTAGAGAAAAGACTAAAGTAGCCAGTTGATCTGCAGTGCAGGGAGGTGTGCCTGAACTCCTTAACTTGCAGCTAGTAACCATTTGACCTAGCTTGGATGGCTAACTGACCAGAATTAGACCAGATGAAGATAAAGTTGCTTGATACTGTGAGCAAATATAAATTGCTACAATTTGATAAACTGAACTTTTGCTTATGGATAAAATTCCAGTCGGAATTTAGGCAGCATATAGCTGATTCTTATTTTTTATCTGATCAATCTCTGCCTTTTTATTAGGAGTTCAGCCATTTATAATTAATATGTTGCTGTTGTTAAGTGCCATTGAACTGGTTCCAACTTATGGTGACAGAGTATAGGGTTTCCAAGAAGCAGTTTATATATATACATACACATATAGATATAGATATACATAGATAGATATAGGTATATATATATACTACTTGTGCTGTATACACATTTTCCTTTTTTGGATGAGTCAGAATCTATTCAATATGAACTCGTTTGGCTTTGATTTATTACTGATTTATATTTTTATGATTTGGTTTTATCACCTTTGTTGCCATATTATTTACAGTTCTTTGTTTTGTTGTTTTACTGGTTGCTCTAAGATTTATAGTATACATTTTGAACTTTTCACAGTCTACCTTCAAGTGATATTGTATCACTTTCCATACAATGTATGAACTTACAAAAGGATACTTTCATATCCAGATTTCTAGAATTTATTTTATTAATACATTTACTTACATTTGTTACAAATCTCAAAACACATTATTTTATTAGTATCTGGTAGTGTAGTGGTTACGAATTGGGCTGCGAACCACAAGGTCAGCAGTTCGAAACTACCAGCGGTTCTGCAAGAGAAAGATGAGGCTATCTACTCCCATAAAGATTTACAGCCTCGGAAACCCTGTTCAGGGTCGCTATGGGTTGGAACCGACTCGACAGCACTTAACAACAACAACAAATAATAAGGAAATAATTTTGTACACTTACCTATGCAATTACAATTTTTAATCCTTCTTATGACTTTGTACAGATTATTTTCTTTCTGGCTAAGGACTTCCTTATACATTTTTGTAGTATGTCTCTGATGATGATAAATTTTAAGAACATTTTGCAGTATGCATTTGGTGATTTCTAGAAAAGCCTTTATTTAACTTTTGTGTTTTTACAACTTTTTATTGTGAATTGGGTGAAGGTTTACAGAGCAAATCAGTTTTCCATTCAATAATTCATACACATTTTGTCATTGTTCATAATCCCCACAATGTAACATCACTTATCTCACTTCCTCCTTATGTTTCCTCTTTATATTTTTCCTTCTTTCCTAACTCTTCTGAACTTTGTCCTTGGTTAAGTGATACCCTTTTTGATCTCAAATGGCTAAAATGGATGATTACGCTAAGGACTGAGTACCTCCCTAGTGTAACTATTCCTCTTATGACCTGTCTATTGTTTGGTTGAAAATTAAGCCATGGGGGTACAATGATACTCTATCCAAGTAGTAATCTGGTCTTTTCTCTGATTTTGAATTTTGCTCCACATTTCCTTCATATATTCTACCTTCTGATGTGATCCTTTTCAGAGCAGCTGGTACTTGTAACCAGGCACCATCTAGTTCTGCTGGTCTCAAGTTCATAGAGGCTGATGCTTGTGTGATACATCAGTCCATTAGACTAATTATTTCCATTCATCTTCAATTTTCTCCACTCTTCTTTCCTCCAGACAGGGAGAGACCAGTAGTTGTACCTAAGATGGCTACTTAAAAGCTTATAAGACCCCAGTTGCTACCAACCAAAAGTCGGATGTAGAACAATGTCTTTGTAGGCTATGTTAAGCTAATTGCCCTTGATGTTTCCCTGAGACCATGGCTGTATGACCACAGATTTGGTAAATCATTCCCTCAAGGTGTTTGAGTATATCTAAAAAGTTTTCATAACTCCACCCCTTCCATGCACTACTATGTTGTTATTAGGTGCTGTCAAGTTGGTTTAGACTCATAGTGACTCTGTGTAGGGTTTTCAAGGAGTGGCCAGTGCCTTTGAATCACTGACCTTGTGGTTCAAACAGACCTTGAGGATATTCATGGATATATTTACAGCATAGGTAAACACATGTGTGGAAATACCCTCTTTCAAACCTATTTGTATATATTTGTGGGTATTTTCCCAATCTGTCTCCCACACCTGGTAAGACTGCATGTCTATCCATGCTCACTTTTGTTTTCAAAACATATTCACTGGGCATAAAACTATAGTGTAAATTTTTTTTCAATTAAAAGATGCTGTTCAAATGTCTTCTTGCTTACATTATTTCTGTCACCCTCATCTGTATTCCTTTGTATTTAATGTTTTTTCACCCTGTGGCTGCTTTTAAGATTTTTTTTTTAAATCACTGATTGTGAGCATATTGATTATGATGTGTATTTGTGTGGTTTTCTTTATATTTATTGTCCCTTACTGTTTGCTGAGGAGTCCTGGTGTGGTGCTGGACTGCAAAGTTGGTTTGAACTGCAAGGTTAGCAGTTCAAGCTCACCAGCTGCTCCTCAGATCATTATGGATCAGAACCAACTAAATGACAGTTAATAACAATAACAATAACAATAAAATGCTTCTGGGCGTTTTTCAGACATTATTTCTTCTGACTACTCATGCTATCTGGTACTTCAATTACACATATTTAAGGCTGCTTAAAGTTGTCCTTGATCTCTCTGGTATGGTGGTGGTGGTGGCTGTGTGCCGTGGAGTCGGTTCCAATTCACAGAGACCATGTACAGGGTTTCCGAGGCTGTAAATCTTGACGGGAGCAGAACGCCTCATCTTTCTCCTGCGGAACAGCTGGTAGTTTCAAACTACTGACCTTATGGTTCGCAGCCTGATTCGTAACCACTAATACGCTACCAGAGCTCTGGTATAGGTTTATTTTTTATTTCTTTCTTTGTTTTACTTTGAATAATTTCTATTGGTATGTCTTCAAATTAATCTGCAGTTTTGACCTGCTTCTAACCCCATCCAGTTTATTTTTAATCTCAGACATTGTAGTTTTCATTTCTAACTTAATTTGACTCCCCCTCCCATATAAATTATGTCAGTATAACGAATGTTTTAAAATCATTGTTAACCGTAACATCTGTGCCAGTTTTGATCAATTTAATCTTCTCACATGGGCCTGTTTTCCTACTTCTACGTATAGTTGGTAATCTTTGGTTGACTGTAAAACACAGTTTTATCTTTTTGGGTGATACATATTTTTCTGTTCCTAAAAATATCCTTAAGCTTTGTTCTAATTAAAACTTTTAAAGTGCCATATAGAAATGATATAAATCAATTGATGTAATTAGTGGAAAATGGTAATGCGTCTGATAAAAAATATCAGTAACATTTTGTAAAACCAACAGATGTTCTGTAGCACAGACATGATTGTAGATCTGATTTGAACATCACCAATTTTCAGTAGGGGAAAGAAATTACCATTTTGTAGTATTCAAGTCCTGGATAGGCACTAGACCATAAGGTTGGTTTGAACTGCAAGGTCAGCAGTTCAAACTCACCAGCCATTCCTCTGAAACCCTATGTAAGGTGGCTATGATTCAGAACCAACTCAAAGGCACTTAACAACAACAGTATTAAAGGTAGAAAGAAAAAAAAGAGAGAGATCAAAGCAAAGATTCTACAGTGGCATAAAGACAGATTTTTTTTCATCCTTTTAAACCCAAATCAAAGCATGATCATTCCTCCTAAACGTCTTTATCTTTGTACACTCTACAATAAAGACTTTAAGATGTTGTTATTGTTGTTGTTAAGTGCTATTGTCTGCTCTTGCTGCATTCTCAAAAACTTTGTTAAGACTTGAGCCCACTGCTGCTGCCAATCCACCTCATTGGGGGAGGGGGGTTCTCTTTTTTGCTGACCCTACACTTTACTAAGCATGACGTCCTTCTCCATGGACTGGTCCCTCCTAATAACATGTCCAAAGTATGAGAGACAAAGTCTCGCCATCATGGCTTCCAAGGAGCATTCTGGCTGTACTTCTTCCAGCACAGATTTGTTTAAGATGTGGGAAGTTTCAATAACCAGATGCAATTAAGCCTCTGGCTAATGAGGGTCTTTTAGGATCTCTGGTAGCGCAGTGGTTACGAATTGGGCTGCGAACCTTAAGGTCAGCGGTTCGAAACTACCAGCCGCTCCGCAGGAGAAAGATGAGGCTTTCTACTCCTGTAAAGACTTACACCCTCGGAAACCCTGTACAGGGTCGCTATGGGTCGGAACCGACTCGATGGCACTTAACAACAACAACAACATCACCTGAAGAAGTTCTGGTGTGGCGCTGCAGGACAGTGCACTGGACCAAAAGGTCAGTGGTTCAAACTCCTTGGAAACCCTACACAGGGTCTCTATGAGTTGGAACCAGCTAAACAGCACTTAACAACCACATTCACCAAGCACAATATTGCGCACACAATTGGTGCTTGATATTTGCTAAATAAGTATATGATTAAGAATTTTTTTATTGTGATCCCAATGTTTTTCTTCAGAAATCAGAATATTTTTCTTTGGTCTAAAAGCTTCTCAACTTTTGTTGTTGTTGTTGTTAAGTACCGTTGAGTTGGTTCCGAGTCATAGCGACCCTGTACAGGGTTTCCGAGGCTATAAATTATTACTGGAGCACAATACCTCATCTTTCTCCCACAGAACGGCTGGTAGTTTCAAACTGCCAACCTTAAGGTTAGCAGCCCGATTTGTAACCACTATGCTACCAGAGCTCCATCTCTTAACTTTTAAGATGATACTAATTCCAAGACAAATCCCCAGATTTTAACATTTTTTCTGAAAGACAACAGTAATGTAGCTTTTAAAAGTACTGTGCATACTGTGCATTAGACATGTGTGATCAATAACTTCAGAAAAATTAGCATAGAAGGGTAATGCTTCTAATAAAGAATAGTCAGTAATATTTTATAAAACCAAGTTACCTGTTAATATGTAGTATGTTCTGTAGCATAGTCATGACTATAGTTCCTATTTGAACATCATCAGTTTGCAGTAAGTGCAAGAAATGGTCACTTTGCAGCACTAAAGGAAGAAAAATAAAAAAGAAACATCAAGGCAGACTTTATGATAGTACAAAGTAGGGTTTTTCAACCTTTTCAAATCAAATGAAAGCATGACCATTTCTGCTGAGCTTTCTGCCTTTTGTATACTCTACTATAAAGAAGATTTTAAGATATGGCTACTTTCAATAACCAGAGATAACAGTCATTCCACTTCTATGAATTTACAGAGAGCATCCATAAATATCAAGTTATAAATCTGTTCTTAAATTGAAAATAAAATAAAACAACCTATCTTAACCCTTGTTCTAACCATTAGTTTCAGTAAAGAAAACAAATATCCTGTGAAGAAGAGAAAATATGAAGGAATGGAAATGGCACACAAAGCTGTAATCAGGTGGCTCATATTCTCAAAAAATTGTATTTTTTGTTACATGATGTACCAGGTCTGCTTGTATATTGTCTTTAATAAGAATGAAAGCACTAGCTACTATACAAATACTTGTTTTTAACTCTGTTATAATATTTAAGCTGGAGTCCTGGTGTGGTGCTGTGGGTTAATGCACTAGACTGCAAAGTCAGTTTGAACTGAGGTTGGTGGTTCAAGCTCACCAGTCGCTCCTTGGAAACCCTCTAGAGGGTCACTATGGGTCGGAACTGACTCGAAGGCATTTAACCACAACAATGTGTAAGCTATAAGCAGCCAGTTATAAAGACTTGAGTGCTTAATAAAATTACTTAATTTCTTAAAACTTCCATTTCTGCATCTTTATCTATAAAACTAGGAATTATAACTTTCTCACAGGCTACTATACATTGTGTAGAACTGAGTAGTTTCCCAAAACTGTTAATTTTCTGTTCCTTTTCCACTGAATAAGGAAAAGTTTAATTGAAGATCAGATATGCCAGCAGGCCAGCTCTGTGGATACTAAGCTTTTATGGAACCATTTTACTCTTTCTCTTTTCTCTCTACTTAGGAAACAGATTTAATTTCTCTCCTAGACTAACTCCTATTCTGCATTTCCATTTACAAAGTCTAATATTTCACTAGAAAGCAGCAATATTTGTAATGTTTAACAACTTAGAAAAACAATCTTATTACTATTAAGTATTGGTGTGGGCTCTATTTTTTACTACTTCAGTAGTAAAAAAAATATTCTCTGTAGCTAAAGTTTACTAGTCCATTTTGTTGTTGTTGTTGTTGTTAAGTGAGCTCTGGTAGCGTAGTGGTTACGAATCGGGCTGCGAACCTTAAGGTCAGCGGTTCGAAACTACCAGCTGCTCCGCGGGAGAAAGATGAGGCTTTCTA